TCTTGGACTGACGCAGGATAGCCATACATGTATATTAGCTACAGTGGACTCTAAAATGCATATACTGTACCATGCAGTAAAATTGGAATAAAGGCATGTAACTATGAAGGTGTTGTGGGTGGAGGTTAGAAGTATACCGGACTGCCAGAAATCCACCAAGGTAGGCAAGAAGACCTAAGACAATATCTGTTGAGAAGATATCCTATGCGAGCTCCAAAACTGCGAATTAAAGCTAAATATAAGAGATGAGAACGTGGAAGCATCCATCAGGTTACAGGGAGGTCTTTGATCAGGAAAAGTGACTTTCTAGGGCTTCTGATTTATGCATTTATTTGTCAGAATTATATCCTACCTTTCCTCTAGGATTGCAAAGTGGCAGATGTGGCACTTCCTTTTGAGAGTAATTGGCCCATAGTCACCCTGTGAGCTTCCATGGTTAAAGGTGGATTTGAACTTGGATCTTCCCCAGTCCAGCAGCTTAACACATACTGGCTGAAGATAGGACATTTTTTTCTACCTAATTGGAAGAACTTCAGACTTTCCATATATAACATGTGTGTTTTCCCAAGGAGTGTATGTATATCTTCCCCAAGGACATATGGCATGTTTAGCTTTATTCATTTATTTGGTTTTTATCCAGCCACTATTATTTTGTAAATAACTCAAGGCAGCAAACATAATATTCCCTACTCCTATTTTTCCCACAATAGCAACCCTATGAGATGGGTTGGGATGAGAGATGTGATGGACTCAAGTCACCCAGGTGGCTTTCATGCCTAAGGCAGGACTAGAACTCAAACTCTCCTAGTTTCTAGGTCTACACCCGAAGCACTACAACAAACTGATGCTGATGGACAAATGAAGATTCACTGTGTGCTAAACAGGCATCTGTGTTGGCAATATAGATTAGTGAGCAGTCGGCTGAAAGGGCTGCCTGTGAAACAGTGGAAAGCTCTGGTTAGAGCAATACCTATTCATGCAATCAAATTTTCACATGAAAAATTTCCAGATGCCGCCTTTATATCAAATATATAATAACAGAAAGAAACACTGACAGTCCCAGAACCTAAAAAAGTCTGTACTTTCTCTTGCCCTGAGTCTGATTAGGATATTTTCTCTTTTCTGAGTACAAAGGGGGAAAAAAACAACAAATGCCCTAAATAGTAATGATCAGATTTCAGCTATTGTTTATTAAGAATAGCAATAGCTATAGCGCTTAGACTTATATACCGCTTCACATAACTAGATTAGGTTGCAGGATGACCCTTATTTTATCTGAGGGATAAAGTACAAGCAGCTCACATCTCTCATTTGCATGTTAGAGGGATGATGAACAGCAGATATTGACCAGAAGGCCACCAATTTCTACTCAAGTAAGACCACCAACATGGAGAGGACATCCCAACTTGAGCTGCATGCAAATGCCAATTTATTACTTAATTCTGAGCCTAAAGAATTCACTTCTCTCCATTCCTTCTCCTCTATAGCTTCCTGTGTCTTTTTCATGCATGTCGTAACTTTTTTGTTTAGAAACCTGGGACGGGGCCTGTATTCCACTTTCTTTTTTAAATCTATCTGTCTGTGTGTCTGTCTGTCTATATCATCTGTCTATCTTCTATATCTATCTGTCCATCCATCCATCCATCCATCCATCTATCCATCCATCTCCTTTTGATGTGAATTTCTTAAGGAGTTAAAACTACAGCATGCAAAGTAAATGAAAACTGTAAAACCAAGGGGAAAGAGTGGTTCTAGAGCGGATTGCTGGTCACTGATCTGTTTTTGTTTGGTTTGGGGATTTTATTTGTATTTTTCATAAGAGAATGACTCAACTTTAACCAACTTGTGGGTTGGTACTGTCTCGACCCATCTACTTGCAATAGGACCTAACCACGTCCTGAAGGCTCAGAAAAACGCTCCTGGGATTGATAGCTATCTGCCCCTTTTTCCTGGAATAGCAGATTGCTCAATATATGAGAATGAGCAAATTCTGATATCGCTATTGTTCAAGAGAGCACAGAAGCAGCATCAAGGGAGACTTTGAATCCAAAGTTCATGGGAGTTGGATCAGGTCTCCTTTCCCAGGTTCTTCTCTGCCCAACACAATTCTGGAGAGCAACCACCTTTCCCCTCAGCTCTAATTATTCTCTTTTATTCCCAACCATGTCCCAAATTTTGAGCAATGCATGGGTCATACACATCAAGAAGAATGTTCCAGCATGTGCCAATGTGGCCTGGTGCTTTAGAAAATACCTTCCTGTGTGAGTGGCCATTGTCAAAAGTAAGATGCCAATGGCCCTTTTACAAAAGGCAAGGAAAAAAATGGGGGGAGGGGAGAGGAATAATTTCAGTTTTCCAGATCCCTAGTTTTGGGAAAACTGCGAAGTTTGAAAGCGAAGTAAATATTTTCTCCATGCATCCTTCCAGGGCCAGAGCTTTTCCACTATAAACTAATCTTTGTAACGATCTGCTTCAGCAAGAATGTAGCATAGCTTTTGATTAGCATAATCAAAATTCATATTTGCTTCTGTTGTATATTAAACATTCTGCAATCTTTTTTTTTTTAAAAAAAAACCTGATTGGATACTTTTTGATTTTGACCGTATTGCAAAATCAGAATTGACCCTTTTTAAAGGTATTGGAAGCTGCTACAGGGAATGGCTGGTTAAAAAGAAAGATACAGCAGGAAAAAATATATAGTGATCTTGTGAAAGATTAATGGAAACTTTTGTTTATTTTATGTAGTTTTTCCAGGGTTCTTCCTCCCCTCAACTCCTCAATAGTCAACCTGTAAAGATGCCTGGTTTGGCTATAGGATTTATAGTATCATTTTATGCAATTTGTGTAGTTTCTAGATCAGGTAAATTGGGCTTACATGTACTGTAAGTATGTATAAAACTACAGCTTTCATTTTTTAATGTGGAAGCCTATGTCATTTATTTGTCATTAAGTGGTCTCTGTTGAATTGCAACTGTATATGCCTTTTACCATATTGTGCATCATTTTGCAATTTATCAGAGCTCATGTATGTATACCTGCATAATTTTCACTCTACTGGAGTGTCCCCAAACTTTTGTGCACCCGGGACCGGTTCTGTGAAGAGAGGTTTTTCCGCAGACTGGAAGGGGGGGGGCATGGTTTTGTATGCTATCTGCATTCTGCAGATGAGGCTTTGCTTGTTTGCGCGACCCGGTTTCTGACATGCCATGGCCTGGTGCCAGTCCATGGACTGGGGTTTGGGGACCTCTGCTCTACTGGCTGTAGAACTTTATTTGTAGCAATGGCGATTTCTGAATGCGATCACCTTTCAGGATAGTCATCTCCTGGGCAGTCACAAGTTTAAAGGCCTGTCCCATGGAAATTGCTTCCTTCAAAAAGGCGAATGAAAGCTAAGATATGTTTAAATGTTTAAATATGTTTAAATCCTTGATCCTGCAAGGAAACGGAGCAGGAATTTGTATATTGCTTCAGGCAACAAAATGTCCTAGGTTGGCATTTCATCAGAAGCAGAAAAATTGTGGTTATTTAGGTATTCCTGATCTAAAGTCATTGACACTTGTGGGTTGTCTGAGTTTAATCCACATTAATGCTTGGGCAACCAAAACAGAAGAGTTCTAGTGGACCCTTAGAGGGATGCGCTATTCATTTCAAATAATACACACACAAACAGAACACACATATGTGTGCATGTGTGTTCATGTATGTATTATTTGAAATGAATAACCTAACCCTCTTTGTTTACATCAAACCAACAAGCCCTGCTATTTCTGATGCACAGTGTTTCTGGGTCACCAGAAAGACTCCACTGGAAATCTATACTCTAATCAACATCTACTCTTTATCAGTATATTGAGACAACAGTGGATTTTCTCACAGAAACCCCCCCCCCCCACACACAAATGGGTAAAAAGACTATACCTTTATAGAAATGACGGGTGAAAGATATGGTGATAGATAATGATTTGAAGGGGACTTGGATGCATATAGATTTCTGTTTTTAGAAGGGAGCATTACAGCGCTCTGTATGCAAAAATGCTCTCTGGAAAGACTATAGAAATGACAAAGCATTCAAAGAGGGATACCTTTCAGGCTTGCTACTTTTCATGACAAGTAAATCTAAGCAGATCAAATAAAAATGCAGGTGAGTTGGCAGAGACCTAGGAGCAAAGCTTCCCCCCCCCCGTCTCCCCCCCCCCCCCCCGTAGGCTGAGATCAGTTTTGATGCTGTGATTCGAGAACAGTTTGACTAAAGGACATGTTTAGATCACATCCAACAAAACCGGGACTTTAAAGAAAGGAAAAAGAAAATCAGTCGATATGTTCACGCTATGCAATTGTGTCATGTTCTTTCTGAAGTCATTCCCACTGACTTCAATAGGGCTTGCTTTCAAAAAAACATTTGCTTTGGGCTGCAATGCTTGGAGCTTTGCCCAAAGGCTTAAAAATAGATATTTTTCAGACTGGAAACACACGCTTAATATGTTCTTTTGTTTGGGGAGATGTCAGGAAGGCAATATTGTTTGCCTTTGGTAGGGGTCTCTGTTGTCCAACCTGTTGCCTATGCCTGCTAAGCGGGTTATGCTGACAGGTGATGGTGGAACAAAAGTGAAAGCAAAATCTCCAGATATATCACTTTGAGAGCTCTTTTCCAAAAACAATCGCCTGCCTGTTGCAGCTGGACATTGCCAGGATCTCAAGTCAATCTGGAGATCAGGTCTTTGGACCTGGAAACACTTATTCCTAATTCCAGCTGTGGGGCAGTTGGCTTGAGTTGTTTCCTAGTGGTGGAATTGACACTCTGCCCATGGTCAAAGTTGCTCTCTTTGGGGGGGGGGGTTAGCATTAATACACAGTCAAGTGCTACATCCTGATTCCGAAACCAGAAAGAGGAGCTTTGTCCTCTGCCACCGCTGGGATTTTTCCAGGGGAGTTGTAATGCTGGGGAAAGGACAAGAGGCAGCTGGGGAGAAAAAAGGAGTGGGATGCAAGAGGAAACCTACCTGCTGTTGGACCTCAGTGGGATGCTGACATGGACCAGGCCCCTTCCATCCTCCAAACAGAGAAGGCGTAGCTGAGCCTCTCATGGGCCAGGTAGTTGCAACTGGAGATCTTGTGGTCAAGCTCGTCACTCTGCAGGACCTGGTAGAGGAAGTCAATGTAACGGGCAGCCAGCTTGAGGGTCTGGATCTTGCTGAGTTTGTCCGAAGGCAGGGTGGGGATGATCTTGCGCAGCTCAGCGAAGGCGTCGTTGAGCGACTGGGTGCGCTGACGCTCCCGCACATTGGCGATCACCCGCTGCGTGTGCATGTCCTCAAAAGTCTGGGACACGGGACTGCGCTTGCTGCGCTTCCCCTGTGGCAAAGGGCTGCTGCTGTACTCTGGCGGGGCTGAAGTCAAGGGTTTACCCAGCTGGCTCCTCTTCCGAAGACTTTTCTTGGGCATCTTCTCACTTTCCTCCTCACTGGTTCCCAGGCTGCCCTCCGGTGAGTCTGGACACATGCTTTCCTCTTTCATCTTCTCCAAGTCGGCCTCCCTTTCCTTTCCGTGCCCAGGATGAGGAGCTGGACCTAGCAGGCCACAGTGCATGTAAAGCCAATCAGGTTGAGCAAACTCCAGGACGGGGATCCCCAAAGAGCTGATATTTGGAAGGCTTCAAATGATTTTTTTTGTTGCTCCAACCTTCAGTGATCTGCTTATTCACCTTCCTTTCCCCCCTCCTTTAGGGCTTAAAGAGAGGAGGGACATTGCTAAAAGTCTCTTAAAGCCCTTTACGGATAGGGTAGGGAGTTTGAGGGGAGGGACTGTGTGCAGACCAATACAACCGTGCACAATAATGCAAACATCAAGGGAGCTTATGGGTTCCAGATTGCCTTCCCTTCCTTTTTCCTCGGCATTCTCTCTTCTCTCTCTCCGCCCCCCCCCCCTTCAGCTCTGAGACACAGATGCTCCAGCCAGCCGCCTGGATGCCAGAGGTCATTCCCTTCACCGGCTGTAATTGACAGGGAACTGCCGGCCTGACCCCCCCACACACACACCCTCAACTCTGCCCTCCAGGCTGATCTGTGGTGAATGGTGCCATCTTCACTTCTGGGTAGACGGTTGTCTGCCTGTTGCTTTGAGGTTCCCACTTTGGGCTCGGAGAATCCAGAGCTCTCTCACGTGAGCGGACCTCTGTTTGAGAAGCTGCGTCTCAGCGTTTGAATTAAACAGAAGGCTTTAAAAGAAAAAAGAAAAAACAAAGGCTCTGCTTATATCGAAGAAACACAGGATTTTTTTGGCCCTGACTCTGTTGGCTACTACTCTTTAGCATTTGCTTGCTCCCTACTCTACCGACGAAGCATGTGATAATCATACATAGGTGATCCTTGACTTATAACCTTTCGGTGAGTGACCATTCAAAGTTACAACAGTATTAAAAAGTGACTTACAGCTAGTCCTCACACTTGCAACTGTCGTAGCATTCCCCACGATCAGATGAGCGAAATTTGGGCTCTGGGCAACTGGGATTACAGTGGTTGCAGCATCCCAGGGGCGTCACGGGATCACCATCTGCAACCTTCCCAGCTGGCTTCTGGCAAGCAAAGTCAATGGGGGAATGCTGGATTCACTTAACGACTGCATGATTCGCTTACTGTAACAACTTTTTATTATGGTAAGCCACCTAGAATAGCCCCAGAGTGAGATAGATGACAGATAAATAAATAACAAATAAATAAAAATAAATAAAGGTAGTGATTTGTTTACCAATCCTGGCCAAAAGAAGGTTGTAAAATTGGGCATGGCTCGCTTAAGAAGTGCCTTGCTTAACAACAGAAATTCTGGTCTTAATTGTCATCGTTAAGTTGAAAACTATGTATGTCTAGTTTAATGAAGAGAAGGAGGAGGGGGGACATGATAGCCGTGTTCCAATATCTCAGGGGCTGCCACAAAGAAGAGGGAGTCAAGCTATTTTCCAAAGTGCCTGAAGGCAGGACAAGAAGCAAAGGATGGAAACTAATCAAGGAGAGAAGCAGCCTAGAACTAAGGAGAAACTTCCTGACAGTTAGAACAATTAACCAGTGGAACAACTTGCCTCCAGAAGCGATGAATGCTCCAACACTGGAAGTTTTTAAGAAGAGACTGGACAGCCATTTGTGTGAAATGTATAGGGTTTCCTGCCTGAGCAGGGGGTTGGACTAGATGACCTCCAAGGTCCCTTCCAACTTTATTATTATTATTATTATTATTATTATTATTATTATTATTATTATTATTATTGTTGTTGTTGTTGTTGTTGTTGTTGTTTTGTTGTTGTTGTCATTATTATTTTTATTATCATTATTACTACTACTACTACTACTACTATCTGTAACACAGTCCCCTGTGGTTACTTAAAAGTAAGCCCACTGAATCCAATAAGATTTATTTACAAGGAATAATATACAGGCTAATAGACTTAATCCAGGGATGTCAAACTCGCAATGTCATGTGATGTTTTTCCATTGCCAGCAATGGGGTGGGTGCGGTTTTGGCATGACGCATCTGACCTGTGAGCCAGCAGTTTGACACCCCTGACTTAATCAGTTAATGTTTTAGGCTGTATGATCCTTAGTTTTGAGGAGTCTTCCTCAGGTTGGGGCGTCTGTGCAAATATATTTTCTGCTTCCAAGAAGAAGAAAATGAAGAAGAAGCCCCAATAAATCCAACCAAAAGCCAAATTGCCATGGCATATAATAATAATAATAATAATAATAATAATAATAATAACAACAACAACAACAACAACAACAACAACAACAACAATAACAATAACAATAATAACAATAACAACAACAACGTTGGAAGGGACTTTGGAGGTCATCTAGTCCAACCCCCTATTCTGGCAGGAAACCCTATACCATTTCAGACAAATGGCTGTCTCGTCTTAAAAACTTCCAGCGTTGGAGCATCTTCCTTTGCAGCTTTTCTTCCCAAGACTAGGAAGTGGGCTGCAAAAACAATTTGCTGCCCAAGAAAAGAGTTTCTACATATCCTGGCAATTTTTTATAACCCCAGGAGGCTTGGATCTTGCTTGGCCAGGGGATCCACAAAACTGTCTTGCCTCTCTGGCTGCCAATTTACTGGCCTTTTCTTTCTCACCCAATGGGGCAAGGCATTTCTTTCTCACCCAGTGGGGTAAGGCAAGACAAGATAAGGCGGCACAAGGCTGGTATGGATTTCTCATTGCCTGCTGGCTTGACGAAGGCAAGTGATTTGCCAGTACAAGGGAAGAGCAGCAGCAGGTGATCTAAAAGCTGAGCGGAGGGGGGAGAGGATTTTTAAAGGAGGGGATTAGTGAGATCTGCCAAGCAGACACAGTCACATACCTGTCGGTAACCTTGTATGGCATTTCTAATGCCCTTTCTTTCCAGTCGCATTGTACAGGGATTCTTATATTTTACAAAGCCCAACCCAGATTGCACTGAGGAAGGTGATATTTTCAAAACCTACACTGAAAAAATAATCACAAAGGACACTCACTGAATGTATCTGAGTAAAAAACAAAAAAGGAAAAAAAGTAGAAAAAAAGACATTTCTACAAAAAGTTATAGTCTGTAGATGCTTCTGCATTGGAAGATAGGGAAAATAGCAAAAAAGCGATGAAGATTTTCATTATTTTTACCTCCCCGATCTCTCAAGATAAAGAAGACTGCATTAATAATGTAGCCAATAAAACGAACTAGATTTATACAAAATGACACATCTTCACAGCACTCAGCTCCTTGACATCAGCCATCAAGCCTTAATGCCAGCCCTGCGTGGTTCAGCAAAACCACGGTAAAACTGTCATCTCTCTCCTTTTGCCATCAGCCCCCCCCCCCACCCCAAACACACATTTTCATCCCCCTGTAAATATATTTATTACATTTTAATTCTAGGAAAAGCTCTTCGTGGACCTGATGATTGTGGACCAGGTCCCACAAAAGCAGATGTAGCAGTAATTGGATAGTCTTTAAGGTGCCACAAGGAAATAAGAGTCAATGTCCCATCCACACACCATCCTCCTGTCGAGAGAGTCTGCTGAGATGATGCTGTGAAGTTTGAAAGGCTGACCCCCAGCAGGAGGAAAGGTTATGCCAGTGGAGAGGCAAAGCAAAACAAAATTATTTGCAGATTTTTGCAGCCCCAACTGAGTTTCCCCTGTTCAAATCCACAGAGAACTGCCCTATTTACACTCTGCCTCTCCAGTCATGGATGGCAACAACATGTTTCCCAAGACTTTCTTTGGCACTTGCCAAGCACCCTGCTTTTTAATAGTGATGGGAGCTAAAAGTTAGGCATATGACAATGGGCCTGCCTCAAGTGCATTTTGCATTTGCATTGATGTCCTTATCAATCTCGCAGTCATTTTACAAACACAAAATTGTGGGCTTTGTTCTCCTCTTGGTATATGAGTAGCCCACACAGCCAATTCCAAACGTGCTCATTGACTCAAAAATATTGTGGATCCTCTATTCAAAGAATCCCACCATTCCTGTTGATTTGCTGCAGGAAAACTTCAAAAGATGAAGTACGATTGGCCTGTGAACAGAGACAGAATATCCCTTCAAAAGGATATTCTGGCTCTGTTCACAGGCCAGCCATATTTGCTTTCAGCAGATATTTTGCTTCCTCAAACTATCAGCCTTAACTCTGAAAGAAACGATGAAAAACAGATATCCAATCCTCAGTGGTTTCTGCATAGATAGAAGCCATATTGTTTAGCTGCATGGGTGTGCATGTGTGTCAAGGAGAGGCAAATGACAAAACTAGAATTATGATGCCAACTCTGCCCCTTTTTCTACATGATAAAATGGCTGGATTCTGTGAACAATTCTGTGTATAATGTTTAAAGCCAAAAAAAGTGCCATTTGCAACTCAGGAGCACGCCTCTCGTTTTGTTGCTTTCTCCATTTCCCTCTTTTTCCTTTGTTTATTAATATATGCATTATAGTAAACAAAAAAATCCATTAACATATAATGTTGATAGAAGAGATTGACTACTCTTGTACCCCCAAAAATGTAAACATCTGACTGGTCTCTAATGCAATTTATATCTATTTTTCACTGTATTAGTTGAAATGCACAAGCTTAAGAATGTTAGCTTGTTAGGCACAGAAAGATGAGATTGCAGACAAGCAGACAATTGCGTGGCCCTAATGTGTACAAACATATCTCACTAACAAGACAGGAAGAAAAAGAAAATGTGGAGTCTGATGTCCTGTAAATGTTCCTCTTTGTTCATTCAGCTCTGTATATTCTGTTTGTGTATGTTGCGTGTATATATGTTTGTGTGTGAGTGAATGAGTGAGTGAGAGAGAGAGAGATTGAACTAGGCCTTGAAATTTAAATTTATTACAGCTAATGTCCATTTATCTAGAAAAAATATTCCATCTTAATAGATGACATGATTTCATTTGACATACCTGCATCTCAGAGTAGGTAAGGTTGAGGTATGGAAAATTCCATAAAGGTTTTTTGTTCTGATTTAATTTCAAAAAGTTAAAAGCTGCATATAACAGAAAGATGTTCTGCAGGTAAACATACGTTGGTTTGATCACTCCTTGGATCCAACAACAGCATCAAAAATGTTAGTACCAGATTTGCTTGGCTCACCTGATTCTCTCAACCAGATCTTACAAAATCAAGTGAATTCAAGTCCTCGTTATCCTTTCCTCCATAGTGTGGAGAGGACCAAGGGTGTTTAATCTTATTACCTCTGATTGCAAGTTACCCAGAGGGGCTGGGCCCACAATGGCATGGCCATTCTTCTCACTGACACTAGAAGAAAGAGGGCAGATTCACTCTTTCCACCATCTCCAGTGGATTCAACAGGAACTTTCATCAAATGTCAGAGGTTTTAAATTAGACATCTGAGTACTGAGTAGCATGTTAATATTTAGTCGATGCAGATCGGGAAGATTGTCTTAGAGAGTCAGATTGGGAAGGCTGTCCTAGTATGCCGTAGGCTGTGTAGGTGAGTCCAACTACAGTATTCCAACCTGTTTGCTCTCTAGAT